AGACAAAGATTAATATATGGTCTCGTCGTAGTCGTAATATGGTCTCTCCGTTCCCTCCTCCTCTAAGGTGCCAGGTCTTCCGCTCGCTTCGGCATTCCGCTATCTCGAGGCTCCCTCTCTTCGGCAACAATACCCCGCGTCCCCCCACACGGGGGCTCAATAATCCCCCCACCCAGCGACCGGACAGCAGGAACTACGGAGCAAATCCAGAAGGAGAGCAGGCATCCACCGTCACGGGAAGCCCGGTCAGCGGTCCCACCAACAGACGCCCGACCCGGCCCTCTAAGCAGGCCCAAGACGCGGAAGCGGGCGTAACCACCTCCCCGGCCCGCCCCCACCCCACGACTCTCGCTCGAATGGCTACAGCCGCGCCACCAGCCCCCCACAAGACGCACCCCACACAAGTCTCCGACCACCTCGTCATCCACCCTTCGCGATCGCGACGGCGCCTCACGTGCTGCTACTACCCTCTTCTCCCAGCGAACCCTCGCCCCAGCCTCCAGTACCACTTCCCCTCGACTACTCATCATGCCTCTCCTCATCCTTACGCGAGAAGCGTCCACCTCTCTCACCTCAGTCTCTCGCCCCAACTCAGACTCCTCCCCGCGACAAGTGCTGTAGCCACTCCACGGCAGACACGTCGCATACCACGCGCCAAGCCATACCCTCCTATCACGAGGTCACCTCGCCCCGAACACCCTCTCGGGAATCACTACGTCGGTTTTCACTCACTCGGCACCACCGTGCCGCTGTCCCGATCACTCCAAACTCCTAGGGCTCAATCTCCCCCTGCAAGCAATCACCCTCCCACCCCTAGAGGCTGTTCTATAGGCGAGGGTCTCCCTCTTAAGTCGTTGCCCTTCAGGTAGTCCTCCCTACCTCTAGAGTCTTCTTACTCTCGGATCGCTGGACAGTATCTCTCTACACTCATTCTCCGTCACCCTCCAATCCTCAAATACCCGTCTCTTAACACTCCTCCAGTCCACCTCATAGAGGTCCACCTCTCCCGACCGATAGTCCTAACCGTCCGATTCCACTCCTGGTCTCGTCAGCCTAGCCTCCAGTACGGTTAAGCATCCTCTCGATCAGTAATACTACTCATCCATCTTCTTCACCTCGTCATCTCTCTCTCTCTCCAGCTTTCAAGTCGCTGCCCTCCTCCGTTGGCGCTCTACACCCGGAATCGATCAGGGCCGGACGGTACCACATATCTACTGTCCCTACTGGACGTTCGTTCGGCCCCACTTCTGCTCTCATTGTCCCTCTCTCTCTCTCTCTCTCTCTCTCTCTCTCTCTCTCTCTCTCTCTCTCTCTCTCTCTCTCTCTCTCTCACTCCCTCTCTCTCTCTCTCTCTCTCCCTCTCTCTCTCTCTCTCTCTCTCTCTCTCTCTCTCTCTCTCCCTCTCTGCCTCTCTCTCTCTCTCTCTCTCCCTCTCTCTCTCTCTCTCTCTCCCTCTCTCTCTCTCTCTCTCTCTCTCTCTCTCTCTCTCTCTCCCTCTCTCTCCCCAGCTGGACCTGACCTTCCACCTGTTTGTGTGTGCACTTGCCGGAGCTGGAGCCGCCGTCATCGCGATGGTGAGATTTACACTTTATCTCTTCTAGTCTTGGTCCTGGTCTTGGTCCTGGTCTTGGTCCTGGTCTTGGTCCTGGTCCTGAGCAGAGTTAGCAGAGAAGAGCAAGTGCCGGTTACCACATTGTTTACAGTTTTTACACTTGTTACAGAAAAAGCACAAAACAAAATGAAAAAATCTCTTAAAACTGGTGGAAAACTAATCCAGAATCCCTTTTCTTTGAATGTAAACCGTCAAAACTCTTACTTTCAGATTACTAAGAGGTCTGGTTTTATTCCTCACCATCTTCTCTAGACAACAAACTGCTCATAGATGTACGGAGAAAGTCTGAGGCTGAGGACAGAGCAGTGGGTCCCGGCTCAAAAGTGGCCAAAATGACGTGCGCTGACATGCTGCAATACCACCCCGGGCCTGTGGGGGTGGACCCGGAAGTAGAATTAGCCAATGCTAACATATAGCATTGGCAGACCTCTCAAAAACGTCTTTACAGGATGGTCCAAAAGTTGGCTCTTGGCCCAAAGCTCCGTTCCACATGTGTGTCAATTCTGAGGGGGGTGTTTTGGTCCATTCTAGTTTACTTGCTGTGAGTTTCTGAAGTCTCTCGTTCAAATGAATGGAGTTGCGCCGGCTGACACATGCGCAGATGCGTTTTTTCAAAATGTTCTTGTGGGCGGGACCACTCGCGGCCATTTTGGATTGCTCCAGTAGAGCACATTTTTGGCCCATTAGATAGAACGGTGGAGATAGGCGTGACTCTGTCCATTAATATCTACAGTCTATGGGACAGATCTGTAAATATGGGACATGTGTGTTTCCTGCTGAGGCGCTGAGAGGACTCTGGAGCCCTCTAGTGGCAGCTCGGAGTCACTGCACAGCCCTGCCTTCTGCTCTGAGAGGTCAAAGTTCAGTCAAATGTTAGAATCTCAGTGATGTCGCACAATCTGGTCTTTTAAAACAGATGTAGAGCTGAATTAATGTAGTATATACAATATCTCACTGCTCTCTCTCCGCTCTCCTTCTCTCACCCTTTCTCTCTCTCTGGTCTCTCACCCTCTCCTCTCTCTCTGCTTTCTGCTCTCCCTCTCTCTCCACTCTCACCCTCTTGTCTCTCTCTCTCTCACCCTCTCATCTCTCTTTATCTCTGCTATATCCTTCTCTCTGTTCTCTCACCCTCTCATCTCTCTCTCTTCCTGGTCTCTGACCTTCTTTCTTGTCTCTCCCTTTCTCTGGTCTCACCCTCTTGTCTATCTCTGCTTTCTGCTCTCCCTCTCTCTGGTCTCTCACCCTCTTGTCTCTCTCTCACCCTCTCTCTGGTCTCTCACCCTCTTGTCTCTCTCTCACCCTCTCTCTGGTCTCTCACCCTCTCTCTGGTCTCTCACCCTCTTGTCTCTCTCTCACCCTCTCTCTGGTCTCTCACCCTCTCCCTGGTCTCTCACCCTCTCTTTGGTCTCTCACCCTCTTGTCTCTCTCTCACCCTCTCTCTGGTCTCTCACCCTCTCTTTGGTCTCTCACCCTCTTGTCTCTCTCTCACCCTCTCTCTGGTCTCTCACCCTCTTGTCTCTCTCTCACCCTCTCTCTGGTCTCTCACCCTCTCCCTGGTCTCTCACCCTCTCTTTGGTCTCTCACCCTCTTGTCTCTCTCTCACCCTCTCTCTGGTCTCTCACCCTCTTGTCTCTCTCTCACCCTCTCTCTGGTCTCTCACCCTCTCTTTGGTCTCTCACCCTCTTGTCTCTCTCTCACCCTCTCTCTGGTCTCTCACCCTCTTGTCTCTCTCTCACCCTCTCTCTGGTCTCTCACCCTCTCTCTGGTCTCTCACCCTCTCTTTGGTCTCTCACCCTCTTGTCTCTCTCTCACCCTCTCTCTGGTCTCTCACCCTCTCTCTGGTCTCTCACCCTCTTGTCTCTCTCTCACCCTCTCTCTGGTTTCTCACCCTCTTTTCTCTCTCTCACCCTCTCTCTGGTCTCTCACCCTCTTGTCTCTCTCTCACCCTCTCTCTGGTCTCTCACCCTCTTGTCTCTCTCCTCTCACCCTCTCTCTGGTCTCTCACCCTCTCTCTGGTCTCTCACCCTCTTGTCTCTCTCTCACCCTCTCTCTGGTCTCTCACCCTCTTGTCTCTCTCTCACCCTCTTGTCTCTCTCTCACCCTCTCTCTGGTCTCTCACCCTCTCTCTGGTCTCTCACCCTCTTGTCTCTCTCTCACCCTCTCTCTGGTCTCTCACCCTCTTGTCTCTCTCTCACCCTCTCTCTGGTCTCTCACCCTCTTGTCTCTCTCTCACCCTCTCTCTGGTCTCTCACCCTCTCTCTGGTCTCTCACCCTCTTGTCTCTCTCTCACCCTCTCTCTGGTCTCTCACCCTCTTGTCTCTCTCTCACCCTCTCTCTGGTCTCTCACCCTCTCTCTGGTCTCTCACCCTCTTGTCTCTCTCTCACCCTCTCTCTGGTCTCTCACCCTCTTGTCTCTCTCTCACCCTCTCTCTGGTCTCTCACCCTCTTGTCTCTCTCTCACCCTCTTGTCTCTCTCTCACCCTCTCTCTGGTCTCTCACCCTCTCTCTGGTCTCTCACCCTCTTGTCTCTCTCTCACCCTCTCTCTGGTCTCTCACTCCCCTTCCTTCTCTCTCTATCTCCGGTCTCTCTCTACTTGTCTCTCACCCCTCTCTCTTTCCCCCTCTCCCCCTCTCTCCCCCTCTCTCCCCCGCAGGTGCACTTCCTGATGGCCCTGGCAGCTAACTGGGGCTACCTGAAGGATGCCAGCCGGATGCAGAAGTACGAAGACATCAAGTCCAAGGAGGAGCAGGAGCTGCACGACATCCACTCCACGCGCTCCAAAGAACGACTCAACGCTTACACATAGAGCGGGGCAGCACCACACGAGCATATAGGCCCATACACAATACACACACGCACACACACACCCCACAGACGCACAACCACCACCACACACAGAGAGGAGGGAGCACAGACTCTCCACGGCAATCCACGGCGACAACGAGCTGACCTAACCCTGATTTTTTTACTTGTTTTTTGATTTTTCCGGCTAAAATTATGCTATACAAAATTGCTCTGATTTTTGACTTGACCTAACTTATTATTTTGAGGTTTTTTAAGATGTTTTGACTAGTTCTGGTGTAATCTGACAATGATTGTAGAAGTGAAATGAACTTGTTTTTAGGTTTTTTGACTGGTATTCTCCGACAAGGCGGTACGAGATTTTCCGGTGATTGATTCCAGATATTTAGAGAACTTTCCAGTCAAAACAAAGTTGAATTTCATTATTTTTACAGCTAAGTCTCGTCAAACTAAGTCACAGATCTTCAATGTATACCTCCGGGAACGCTATTTTAGTTATTTTTCCCATCGTAACCCGTGGCGATAGAAGCTAGTGCAGCGCGTAGAAATAAATATAGCCTAGTTTAGTTCGGCTAGCTAGCACCGTAGTCCTTTTCCCGCTTTTTAAATCCTTTCTCTTTTCTTTCGCTCCGCGTCGAGATCCAGAATGTGCCGAACAATCACAGACCCCGATACGGTTTCATGCTTAAAGCTGTGCTAGCCAAACGCTGTGCTAGCCAAACAGCGTCGTACCGAGAAATACCAAAACGATGTACAAAGAATCCAAAGAGGAGTTTTTGCTTTGCGTTGCTTGTTTGCGGCATGCTTTATGGTAAGAAAAAAAACTAAAAGTGCCAATATATGTACTGCTTTTTTCGCAATCTGTTGTAGTTATAATGCTATGCTAACAGATGGTCTCGTATACACTGGCGAAGTTAGCAATCTGAGGGTCCTGAAGCCAATTTAAAGGGGGAGTGTGTTCTTGTACCTCGCATAAGAGTTGCCGTGTTTGTCCCAAAAACATTACTCCTTCTTGCTAATCTTATTCGACAGTCAAAAGGTGTAATAGTTTGACCACTTTCCAGTCCATTTTCTGGTCTATGGCCTTGACGGAAACATCCAATACTTTTACATGCTGTTTAAAAGTTTGAGGATGTTTGTGGAAGGGGCCCTCGGCTGCTAAGCTAGCTGCTAACTACCCGTATGCTAGTATAGGCGCGTTTTACTTTCAACATTACGCTAAAAACCAATGTCAAACTGTTAGGAACTGTCGCTGTGGACTGTGGTGAGTGTCTGTGGTTCCATCGCTTTCAGTTGGAGGTTGATTCTCTCACACACACACACACAAGTATACATAAACAAACACACACACACACACACACACAAGTATACATAAACAAACACACACACACACACGATAGATGTGGCTGATTTGGTCGGTGTTGTGCAGGCAGTGTTGTCTGGTGGTGTCATATGCTGTGAGTCGTGTCCGTTATTGCCACATTACAGTTCAGACGACGGGGAAATTCACGGAGATTCCAACAACAACAACAAAAAAACAAAAAACAAAAAAAACGGTTCTTCTCCGGGAAGAGTTCCAACTTTTTTCTGGTACCAATGGGTAGCTCTGCCTCGAACCACAATCCCCCCTCTTCCCCTTATCGTCTTCTTCAGCCAACTTTCATTAGTTGTTACGAGAAATTAGAAACGGGAAACCAAAACGCAACGCACTTAAGTTGACAAAATGGCAACCCCGGATTTCAACGCGGACAGACGCAGCGGAGAGATGCTACTGTTTTGGATGGTGCTAATGGAAAGCTAGCAAAGCGGTGGTGTCGAACTAGCGCCATAACAGGTCTTGCTACAGGTTATCGTTCAACCCATTCCCAGAGGTCTCCAGGTTCAGACTGGGCTCACTTGAGGAAATGGGTGAAGTCTAGGGCGCTCCTGCTTGGTTGGAATGAAGACCTGCAAACCACACTAGCCCCTGACGGTAGAAGATAGCCTACCCAGCCGATCGTAGCTTCAAAAACTTAAGCTACGTCACGTGTATTATGTCATATAAAAGGCTGGAACAGTCATAAAGTCACAAACATATGTTCTTTGTGATGCTAACAGACAACGACCGAAGTACCGCCGCGTTTCCATCACGGTTACCGTGGGAACGCGTTGAAATCCAGGTTGTCCCAAAACACGATTGAAATATGCATATGTTTGTGATGTCATACGAAAGAGACCAAAACGATTTATTTGTATGCACATCTTAGCGTCGGACACTTATTGCACTTATCTAAAAAGGCGGGGTAGACATTGTCGCCGTAGGAATTACAACAACTAGTGAAACGGGGTTAGCTTCCCTTCTCTTGTTCCCGTTCGATTTGTAAAAATGAAAAAAGTGGTGATTTTTTGTCCTCTGAAACAGCACACTTAGCAGCACAAAGTATTTCTAACCATTATTGGTCTGTTTACAATGTTTTCTCTTCACTTTGGAACAATTTTGCCACATTTTTATCAATATTATTTATATGTGATTTTCGCATTTTTTTTGTATTTAAAACTGAAAACTTGGGGGTGGGTTTTGTGGCGGGTGGACGGGAGGATTGGGAATTTGTGTATCACTTGGTTTCACTTGATTTGTAAATGGATTTCTGCACACACAAACACACACACGCACACACAAAACTACACAACAACATGCGCTTTTTAACCACCACGCCTCTGTTAGAATTCATACTTTTTATTTGCTTAAACAGGCCCCTGCAAATGTGACCGAACCCATGACTTGTATTACTCACAATAAGCTAATACGCTAACGAGTTAGCCAATGAGCTAATAAGCTAACAAGTTAAAATGTGAACGGGCGAGATGTTTTCATGACTGGTTCTTTTTTAATGCTGTGCCATATCGGTGCTCAAACATTTCAACTTCAATACTTTGGTTGAAATTTGAAGCCGGGACCAACGCAATTAGCGCAAGATTTGTGGATTATAGCTGCGGTTTGTTGCTATACTGTGAGATTGTAATGTTTTATAGAAAAGTGAGATCTTTGGCTTGGATTTTTTCATTGGTTTGGCAAGAACTATGGCCTAGCACTGCTGTGAAGTTACTTATTTAATGCCAACTATAAATACAAGCATTCTTTTAAGACTTACCATTGGCAAAAGTTACCATCCGCCATAATGCGGCGGTGGAAACTGGGTCAATGAAAGTACATGTAAACCAGCAAACAGAAGTCAGGTTTTGCCAATTTCAAGCTGCCAAAAACCGCGACCGAAACCAGCGCTCACATTTTTGGGCTTAAAAAAAAAAAAGTGTCAAAACCGACGGAGCAATCCTTAACCAGACGGCCTGTTTCCATCCCATATCCATCCTATGATTTGACCGGTCATCCAAAAACGTACTGAAGATTGTATGTTTGTCCTGGTTTAAACTGTGAACGAACGTGAAGATTCTCTATCGTCCAATAGAGACGCGTCGCGATGGAGAGAGGGCGTCGACATCACACTGCAAAAATCACATCGGCCTGAGCCAAAAATAGAAAAGTCGATAGAAATCAACCTGCGGCTCAACTTTCTGCTCAGTGTTTTGTGTGTTTGAAATAGCACATTGTAAGTAGATTAGCTTATTAATAATGTTTGATTCAATTCAATGATATTAAGTGGAATTATTCTCCGGCTAAGTTAAACTAGCATGCATGTAGCTAACTTTACTCTAGTTAAGTTAAACTAGCTTACATGTAGCTAATTTGTCTCCGGAACTAGCTTACATGTGGCTAACTTTTCTTTAGCTAAGTTAAACTAGCTTACATGTGGCTAACTTTTCTCTAGCTAAGTTAAACTAGCTTACATGTAGCTAATTTGTCTCCGGAACTAGCTTACATGTGGCTAACTTTTCTCTAGCTAAGTTAAACTAGCTTACATGTGAGGTACAGTAAGCTGTTTTCTCCGGCTAAAAGAGAAGCTAGAATAATGTATGATTTTTTTTTGAGTCCAGGCTTTTAACTCTCTCCGATTGTTGATTATTGCAGTGTTTGGAGAGTGGATGTTTTGAAATGAAATATGAAGCTACTATATACACCAGCACACACTGAAATAAACACACAAACACACACACACTGAAACAAACACACAAACACACACACACAAACAGACGCCACTTCCGTCATCTTTGAGCCATAACTTTTACTTTCACCGATTTACATGTCACTATTTTATTATCAATCTTTATTCTTGAGACTTTTTTAAATGTGAAATTATTATTTAGGAATAAATCAGATGTGTTTGTATTTTTGTTTTTTATTTGTCGGACAGTATTGAGAAGCACTGTTCCCACATGACTCCTGTACAAAGATATACATATATGTGAAACAGTCAAGGTGAGCCGCCGGGAGAATGATTCCCTATGGGCCGGGTCCAGGGCGGGGTTATCGGCAACGCAACTCCACTCTGAAGCAAAGCAGGAAGTCAAATGATTAGCATTAGCATTAGCATTCGCCAAACCAGAGTAGCTATGGACAGGTGTTACCGGTACAACAAATCGCTACTGCGTCATAGGCCAGTGTTTTGAATATTTGTGTTACCAAAGTCAGTATAAGATTTAAGCCTAACTAGCAAACAAATAACAGTGTATACACCAGCTAGGAGAAGCCGTTGCTACTGCTAAATAGGCTAGCTCTTTTAATTAGCTTAGCTTGTTTGCCATCTCTCTGTTTACTAAAGTCATTCTCGTGGTTATGACTACATTTTTCCAAGTTATCGATTGGAATACCTCATGGGTACCTAAGGGAATTGATTAACCAGCAAATATAAGGATTTGTTTGAAGGCTATATGCTAGCGCTTAGCTTGCGCAACGGAATTGAGCATTAACAGGTCTTTGTGATGATAAGATTATAAGATTTAACGCTTTACGGACCAGTGTTGGTGGCAGAAGAAACGCCGGTTGTGTAGTTAGAGAGATTGTCCGGTGGGATTGCAAAAGCAGTTTTACTCGAGTAAGAGTAACGGTACATTTGTCTGGAGTAGACT